CATCTGGGCGCACATGATGTAGCCGGGTGATGTTGGGCTTGCAATTGTTAATTAGATATTATTAGAATTTGAAACTTGTTTTGTAGTCTAATAGTAATATAATTTGTATTTGAGTACCAACAAGACTGACAAAGAATAAAAAAAAAAAAAAAAAAAAAAAAAAAATAGCATGATTACTAACACATCCTTTAAGACCGTGAGTAATAGGACTTATATCATTTTTTGAATAATGTGCTCGAACTGCTTCTCACTTTGATTTTCCAATTGCATAGATAGTAAGCCAGGCTTTTTGACAAATTGAAACTCCTTGAAATTTATAATTACTTGTTATAAGCTATTTTACGTCTCCATGGTCTGTAGTTGGTTGTCGTATACTAGCCTCAAGAATTCCTAAAAAAAAAATATTTTTTTCTGCTGCTGACATTGATTTAATTTTATAAAATCTCTTAAGGGCTTCATCATAGTTAATGGAAGTGTTAAAGCATTTTTTAGGGCAACAAACTGTCTGCTGAATTTTTGTCAAAAATGCTTTATTATCTTGTTCAGACATTTTATTTTTTTTTCTTCGCATTCAATAAAATTTTGTATTAAATTGGTTTGATAAATTTGACGAAATAATGCAATTTCTTGCTGTGTAAAACAATCAGACTCAAAACTATCATCAGTTTGTTCTGTTACGCTATCATCTGTTTGACTTTCAATAAAAAACTCATCATCATCTACAATTTCATCGCTATCATCATTTGTATTATAATGTTTATATAACTCATTAAATTAGTTATATAAAGTAGTTAATTCAGAATGTGTTTCAATAAAAATGCTATCAAAAAGTATATTTTTATTTAAATTTTCATTCATAGTTAATAAAATATCAAGAAGAAAATACAAGTTTAATGGTAAGTGAAATATGTGATTCTTTATTTGATTGTTTTTATATTTGTACATTATATATTATGCATGTAATACATGCAAATTATGTTTTATCTTACTTGTTTATTCAATTTATACCTGTATTATCTTTTTTGAGTTATAAATTTGCGCATTCATATAAGTTTAGTATTGATTATCTGCTTTCGTTAAATCTGATCTCATTTTCACTTAATCTAAATTGAAACAAAAAATAAGGCTCACTATTAGTTATGCAAAAATTATTATCACAGAATTCGAATTTGTTACCCAATTAATAAGTCAATATAGTGCTCTTGTAAGTTGCATTTGCTAATGCTTTCTTTTATTACAAGATTACTAAATCAAAAACATTAGTATAAACTTCTTAAAAAATGCATATACTTATACCTTTCTTCGTTTGATTCCTGAATACTATATAAATTATCCAAGATTCAAAGAAGTTGGCATGATGTTTTTGCCAAATACAATTGATTCAACTTTGTTATAACCAATATTCAAAAAAGTTAAAGTGGTATTTGCAGTATTCTCCAAAATTCATTCTAATGCTTTGCCTTCTCTTGATCTAAGCTCATTACACCAAATATTTAAATTTCAAGATATTATTACTACAAAATAAATTTATTAAAGCTTTTCTTTCTCTTAATATAAGATTATAATAAAGATCCAAAGAAGTCAGCGTGGTATTATTGCAAAGTGTATCTAGTCAGTGTAATGTCTCTGTAAAATGCATCTACTAACGTTCATTTTCCTTCTGATCTAAAATTATTTCAAATAAGATTCAAAAAAATTAGCATAATGTTCTTGCAATGTATATTTGCTAATGCCTCTCTATATTTTATACATACTAGTGTTCTATAAATAATTGAATTTGAAGTCATGAAATTTTATTTATCTGTCTTAGTAGTTCAAAATTTGCAATTATTAGTTATTTTTGATGAATTAAGGTATTTTTCCAAATACAAATTATTAAAATATTATTAAATAATAAATATAAAGTATGCTAAAGCACTTGGTACTAAAAATTTTACAAAGAATACTAGTATAATGAAAAACCTGTGCGCTACTTCCTAGTAATACGTAATTTATCTATTCACTATTTACCTGTGATTTTACTACAAGGCTATTTCACATTAGAGTGACACTAAATAAAAACTGGTTTATATATTAGTAAATTATTCAAATACCAGCTTTAATTTAATATTTATTAAGCAAATTAATCTTACCTCGGTCAAATCTTGGTTGACTAAAAATGCAAATGCCAAAAAGTTTTTAGAGTTACGGCAAAAAATGCCAGAACTCATTAATAATGACAAGGCATGCCATTATATCTGCACTTCTAGGTCTAGAACAACTCAATTTCAAAGTTTACATTCCTGGTTTCACGCAATTGTATTGCGCAACTCTTATTGATATTAAAAAAACAGCCGTCAATAGAAATCAAGCAGATTCCTCTAATAAATCTGCTTGATTTCTATTGACGGTATTAATTAGTAAATGATTGACATATCTGGTCTCCAAGCTAAAATTGATATATAAAGATTTCACGAATAGACAAAGTAATTTTTTGTATTTAATTTAAAAATTTATTATGTTAATTGGCTATTTTTTATAAGTAAAAAATAACCATTATAACTTTTTCTATTAAATAGATCATATAACTTATTTTTGTAAAAAATGTAGATCTGCTTGATTTCTATTGACGGCAGCCCATATAGTCATACCTCTTTATAATTATCTCCTATATAATTTCAACCTCTATAAAATCATACTAGTTTATGTTCTCAATCTTTTAAATAAGTAAAATCTCTCTTTATAATATCAGTATACATATAGTAGCTTAGTCATACTATAAAAAATCAGTAGTCACACAGTGATCATCATGCATGATCAATTTTTATTGGCCAAAAATTTTATTATCTATATTATAAAACGGCTAATTTTTACTAAACTTTGAGCAATAGTATATTAACAACCACAAAGTTAATTTTAATGAACTTTTTTTTATTCGAATTCTATAAATTTGTAGAATTCAAATAAAAAAAATCTATCGAATTTGGCTTGGTGGGTGTTGAGATATCTTCACTCAAAGCTTTAAAAAAAATTAAAAACATTTATCAAAATAAGAGCTGCGCCAAATTATTAAACTTTGAGCAAAGATATCTCGATATCCATCAAGCCAAATTAGATGAACGTTTTTTATTTAAATTCTATAAATTTGTAGAATTCAAATAAAAAAATGTTCATTAAATTTGGCTTGGTAGTTGTTGAGATAACTTTATTCAAAGTTTTTAAAAAATTCTAAACATCGATCAAAAAGAAGAGCTGTGCCAAACTTTTTCATAAACTTTGAGTGAAGATATCTTGACACCCACCAAGTCAAATTCAATGTGCTTTTTTTTATTTGACTTCTATGTATTCATAGAATTTAAATAAAAAAAGTTTATTGAATTTGGCTTGGTAGGTGTTGAGATATCTTCACTTAAAGTTTATAAAAAAGTTTGGCGCAGCTCTTTTTGATAGACGTTTAGAATTTTTAAAACCTTTGAATAAAGATATCTCGACAAATACCAAGCCAAATTTAATGAACGTTTTTTTATTTAAATTCTACAAATTTATAGAATTTAAATAAAAAAAGTTCATCAAATTTGGCTTAGTTAGTGTTGAGATACCTTGCTCAAAGTTTAATAATTTGGCACAGCTCTTATTTTGATCGATGTTTTTGATTTTTTAAAGCTCTGAGCGAAAATATCTCAACACCCACCAAGCTAATTTTTTTATTTGAATTCTACAAATTCATAAAAGTTGAATAAAAAAAAGTTCATTAAAATTAACTTTGTAGTTGTCAAGCTACTATCGCTCAAAATTTAAAGGGAATACAACTAAAAATAATATACAATATATTATGTATTTACCAATAAATAAATCTACTAACATGCATTTAGAAAGATAATTATGATTAATATAAAATCTATTAACAACACTTATATGCTTTGTGTAGAAAGATAATTATGCATTGTTTTATAAGTACTAACACATATATAGTGTCACATTATATAATAAATGAAACCTATTATAAAATAAAGGTTTTTTCTAAAACGATGATTTATAAATTTAT